AGAATTCCTCTGTGACTCCGGCTGAGTTGGGGTTGTGCAGCACAGCGGATGCAAGGGAAAGTGTGGGGAGGACACACAGAAGCAGCATGTTTGGGTCCTGGCTCGGAGCCATGCATCAATTAGGGGCTCAGGGGGACTGGGTCACAGTGGGGGGAAGTAAACAGGCCAGTGTATACACGTTTACACCAGCAAACACACGCACAACTGCAAAGATAGAGTTCAGACACAAGCAGACATCTGTACGCCAAAACACTTGCATGCATTCAATATTTTGTCCCTCCTGAGTTAACATTTTTGATCAAGAAGTAAGCACCAATTTTCACAAAGTTGAACCAATACACCTTGTGTTTGAATAAATTGAAATATAATTAACTGCACACAAAAAATATTTTCAGATTTAAGGATTTAGTGAGAAACTATATATTTTTTGCAGTGTGGTTTGCACTGCAGCACTTCAGTCGGTACTTGGCCTCAGAACCAGATTCAAGTCCCCGAACAGACAAAGTGTGGACCGGTTCGTTGAGAGGTGCCAGTTTGCCTCCTGGGCACTGTTGTGGCCCTTGCCTTTGAGAATGGCACCAGACCCACACACTTCTTCCCAAGTGCTTTATAAAAATACATTTGGATAATAAATGCAACATCTACATGTCTGTGTGCTGTGTTGTTCACATTGGTATCAATAAAAAAGTTGATTTGTTTCAAGCCGTCCATTTTCATATTTTTTGCAGTGCAATATGACTCATCTCTTGACAATCCTATTGCCACTCCCTCTCCTTTTTTTCCCTTCGGGTGAACAAATATGTACACACAAAGTAGTAGGCTTCTGTTTGACATGAAACACCCACAATGACTCACAGGAAGTAAAGTACACTTTGTTTCATAACGAAAGTATTTTCTCACAAAGTTATAAAATATGATCTAATTAATTAATTAAATTACATAAATTCTCTGCATTTTACAAGAAATGGCATGTGTGATTGACCTTTGTTTTTTATTTTGTATTGTAGTTGTTTTGAATAGCAGCCGACTACAAAAGCACAATGGTCCTGGGCTTAATGTGCAAGAGAGAAGGAACGATCTTATTTCAACAACCAGAAGCACCGGCCTTTCCTGTTAGATTCACACACTCCTCTGTTTGACTGCTAATAACCCGTCAGCAAAAGCAATTCATAAACTGCTCACACCTTAATTCCCAGGGACAATTATTTTCTTGACATTCTTGAAATTCAACTTTCTCTTTTTTAGTTACTAACAATAAAGAAAACATGTAATTAACTCACAATAAATATCACACTACAAAGGTGGTTTCAGTAGAATGCAGCTCACCGCTATAGGTGTTACTGTCCCAAAATCTAAATGTGTTTTTCTCATTTCTTATCTATAGTTGTTAGTTATGGGGGCATAATTAAACACCATAAAATAAGTGATATCTTTATTTTGCTAGCCTAATACAGAAAGTCACACAAACATGAGTTAACTTCTTATCGTTATATGGTTTGTTTAGTTATTGCATTTTGTGGCTGTGGCAGTGGCCTTGCCCATACAGTACAATCACAATTCACACGTCATTCAAACTGGACAGAATCTACATAAACCTCACTAACCCCATCTTGGTGAGGTTTTTCAACAATAACCAACTCTGGTTTAGTCAAAGTAAACCTGTATTGAATTAGATGTGAAAATATGCCGGCTATTGAGGCGACGGCTGACTGGCTCACTTGTTTTGGAGGCAGGCCGCTTAATTAGTTAAATTAAAAAGACAAAAGTCATCCAAAAAAACAACCAATGATACCCACTTGTGTGTTTAGTGTCTTAAGCTGTTAGCAGTCCATGCTGAAACAGGGGCCCGTTTTATGTACATTTGCCCTTGGGAATATGTAGATGCAAAGTAGTTGTGTGTTGTCGCTTACTATTAATACATTGGACTCAATTAGCAAAAAAAGAAATAAAACACTGATTGAAAAGTTTTAAGACACATCTTTTGAAGTTCAGTATCCACTAAAGTGAGATGAGAGCAGCATCTCTGCAGCTGGTAGTCTATCAGCCTCATTCTCCAGCACATGTCAATGGACAGTTGTTTTCTGCATGATGGCCTGAGGCTGGGCTTTCCTGTTGAAGGACGTTCAGGGAGATGGGTTAGTGTGCTTCCCTGCAGCATCCGAGGAATCACTGATCTCTCATTTGATCTGAACGCCTCAGAGAGCAAAAAACATGATTATAACAGCTTGTCGATTATTTTTTGAATTTGTAGGCTACACTCCACTTTACTGACGTACTGAAGGAAGATGCTGAATACATGTTTTCTGATAGTTTCCCACATTTAAAACTGTTTCCAAAAAGGGCACAGTATTTCGTGATAGCTCCCTAAGACTCCTTTCCACCTACACAGAATACAGGCTTGTGCACATTGTTATCTTAATACCACTATGCATACAATGATTCCCTTAGGCATAATATAATTTTTAGACGGGTACGGATAAGTGCTGTGAAGTTTTACCACAGCGTTTAAAACGGGCTGACTCCGCTTGCACAGCCGTCTGAACGCCTGACTTTGCACTCACTCAACGACTCTGTTTCCACTGTGGCTTCTGAAAGAGCACCTGGGCCTCCCCACACCGTGGCAGATGGAGGCACAACCACACACCCACTGAGGGTTGGAGGCTCCGCTCTGTGGGGCCAAACATAACAATAACCCTCGTGCTGGTCAGTGCTCGTGCGCCCCTGCACTTTCCGTGAATCTCAAAAGTTGAATCCAAGGTTTTCCGTGGTTATGGCCAGGGAAACCTCTGTCCAGTACTGCACTACCCTCTGTGATAACAGAAGAGTTATAATAGAACTAAACAACATGATGTGCCATGATTCCCCTTTCAAAGCATAAAACAGCAATCACATTTTTTTTTAAGACATTATTTCAAACATTTCGCAAATTGGGATTAATAAAGTACATCTTTATATTAAGGGCATGACTTATTACATAAAACTGTGATGTACAGTAAAGGGCTGAAACCTACAGAACAATGTATACGGCCCTTAAACACTCTAAGATGAAGTTCAGAGTGAAGCACGTTTTTGAATCCCTGTTTATCTTGTCTGTAGACACTTTTAAATGGTTGTAGATCCCATCTGGCTGAATAATTACAGGTGAGACATTCTGAAACTAATGACACATGGGGCGGCAGTGGCTCTGTCTGTAGGGACTTGGTCTCTGAAATGAAGGGTCGTCAGTTCACATCCCTATCAAGTGTAGCTGCCAATTCACCTCATCCTGGTAACTGCCGAGGTGCCCTTGAGCAAGGCACCGAACTGCTCCGAATCCCACCACCGCTCCCCGGGCACTGTACAATAGCTGCCCACTGCTCCTAGAACTAGGATGGGTTAAATGCAGCGGTCTAATTTCGCCTTTTGTGCTGTACTGTGTTCATTTACATGTGTGACAAATATAAAGAGAGTTACATCCTCTAATTCTTCTTCTAAACTACAAATGATAAGAGCAAGCGACAGAATGCTTGCTCCCTCTGCTGGGCATACACCGGCAGTGCTGCTGATTTATAATTATTTGGCAGTGCTACTAATCTTGTTGATAATCTTTTCGTAATTGCAATTAATTGAGTTATCCTTTGGATTATATTTACATCTATTACATTTGATTATTTAATGATTACATACCGGACACAAATACAGGATGTTCACAGATCAGTTTAAATTAATTAATACTAGCCTCTCATCATTAATGTTAATAAATGTATATGTTGGTAGTGTTGTGTCCCAGGTGTTTGAGTTTTTTTAACAAGACTGAGAAATCTGAACATTATCTCCATTTGTTCAAACGTTTTTATTTTCATTTCAGATCAATTTGTTAAGCAGCATGACACACACTTCTTATAAAGGTTTAAATCAGCAGTTGTTGGCACTGAGGCAATTATAAAAACTGTCTCAGTGAAAAACAGTTGATAACATTATAGGTTAAACCAATTGTGAAAATGAAAAACTATACCAAAATAAGAAGAAAAGTGGAATCACTGTCTAAGAGTGTGCATTTTCATGTTTGATTTATGTCATTAAAATAAAATACTTTTTTAAATCCACAAAAGGGTAAGAAGTAGAAAACAGAAGTTAACAATGATATAACAAAATAACCATTGAGGAAGTAACTTTAAAAAGTGTATAAACCAAGTAGCTAAAGCCACAGTAAAACTATTTGTAGCCAGCTAAATTGTAACTAGGTTTTGCAATGCATCCGATCAAAAAGAAGATTTCCAATTATATTGACATATTAACCCTGTGTTATTATGAGTTAACAAACTGTGACGTAAGCACTAGGCCTGAGAGCTATGTGGAAAATTACAAGATAATTATTGTTCCTGTCATTGATGAAGCAGGAAGTTGCATGTGTAAATAATTAACCATATGTGTGTGTGGAACACCTTCGGACTTGGCGTGTTGATGGAAATGTTGAAGTTGCTACTGCATGCCAGCATATAGTTATTAAACTGGAGCATTTCAATAGTCTACATTTGCAATTTAATAAATCATGTTAGACACATTAGTGTTCCTCTAGAATAATCTGTTATGAATTACATTTGAACCTTTAAACATTGATAATGGCCTTCACACACCAATAACTTACAGCTAGACATGTAGGCTGAAGCTATAAGAGGTTTTCTGATATTTACAAAAAGGGGCTTATGTTATTAATACTATTTCCGGGGTATCAGAGCAGAGATGTTGAGTATCACAAGATAGAAATCCGCGTGTTCCTACAGTGACATTCAGCACATCCTCCACGTTAAAAATGTAAAACAAAACTACATTTGAATATGAATGTTGGCACGTGTGCATGTACCAACAAGAAGAAGTAAATATGTTTGACTATGTCTATGAATAAATATCTATATGTTAGCAGAGAGACTCATCTGACAAACACCGGAAGCTTCGTAGTTCTCATTGCCAAAACGGAAGCTAGTGAGGATTTGAATCTCTTTCTGTGCCGTATTCATCTTTGTATGAGGCCGACACCGGTTTTTGGAGGACAGTGGGGTCCACTGAGGTTATCATCTATTTCAACGCTTCATCCGAGTTACGATATTTAATACCAAACCACATCAATCCGGGACATGGGCTGCGGCACAAGGCGCTACATGTGATTGTGGTAGGTTTACACTGGCTTCCGGTGTGTTTTCCTGACCTTTCCCTTGTTTAACGAAGGAAATAATAAGTAAAGCTATAAAAACATCTAATCTTAACCTTTTTCGAAAACTAACCGGATAGTTAAGCTAATTTAACTATAGCATTCCTTTCATTTTTTTTGTACGCTGTCAAATTAAAGAGCTAACGAAATTGTGCAAAGCAAGTGAACGCAACATGTTTTTTATTTTCCACCACTGTACCCTTACTGTACTTCTTAGCTGGCTAGCTAATATCATTTGTGATTGTAGCGTTAGCATGCTTGATTAAGGATCATAATAATTATTATTATCATAATAATGATGAGAAAAAACATACAAATACAATGATCCGATCATTGTATTTGTATGTTTTTTCTTTTAACCGAGTGGAAGCAGCATTGATGAAGCTTTTAAAAAGCAGCAGGTTATCGTATAAATGCCCACTACAGGGCGCCCTGGTACACAAATTAAGAAAACTGGGTACCACTTTCCAAGTCAAGGTTTTTTACATTATATTATGACGTGAGTCGTGATGTATACACCTCTATATAATGCCCTTTAGATAACCTATTAACCTATTAACACAAACAACACTTGGGTTGCCAGGTTGGGAAAATCTATATAATATGGTTTTTAATGAATGGTAACCAGTATCTCTATTTAGTTTCTAATAAGCCATCCTTAAAGCTGCTAAAAGAGTTTCCAAGTCAGTAACAATGCGAATGACAGGTGTCTTACGTTGTAATAAGATAGCAGCAATACAAAGATTCATTTGCAATTGAAAATGAAAATGGTAATAAATCTATTTTGGTCCAAAAGCATCCAGCTTTTCTAAAAGGTCAAAAGGTCAACCCATCTATTGAAGCTTTTACTTGATGAACGTACAAGCTAAACACACATTAACATACCCTACCAACCTGAAATCTGAGAACAGCTATGTATTATTAGCTTATAATGTAACAACTAGAATGTATTTAGCTTGGTTGGAGAGTTGCCTAAAGTGCTTTTGCCTTGGCATACCAGTCAAAGTATGAGGTCCAGAGATGAGAGACGTTTAACCATTTATTTATTTCACAAGACTTGACCGTCACAGTTAAAGATTATGATTTTAAGGCTAGAATATAAACACAAAAATGTCAATCAGGAAGAGCAAAACACTAAGGTTCCATCAAATCAAATGTGGCTTTAGCATGGTAAGCATAAACAAAGCTATCAATAACAATACACTTATTAACAACTTACTCAAAAAAAGCTGGCAGGAGGATTTTCAACATATACCTTATCTATGATAATAATAATAATAATTCATGGTATTTATTTAAGCACTTTTCCAAGTGCTCAAAGCGCTTTACATTACATTATATTACATATATCAGACATGTAATACATTGAATACTACTATATCTATAAAGAATTATTTTAATTTGTACTAATTAATTAAGGGAAGTCAATACTTTTACACTGTTTTGTGTTATGTGTGTTTGTTGATGACAATTTATTGTGAGAAGTTTCTCTCTTTTTTTGTAGGTGACACATAGTGAACAACAACATGTAAGAGCTACTCAAATACAGCATTTGGAAGAAAATTGAGTGATACTTCTTTTGAAAGAGTGTCATTTTAATATATCTTTTACTTATGAAGGTCCGGGTTAAAAAATCACATGTCGCTTCCGATGTCGGTGGGTGTCCTGTTGGTGGGCCTCCCGTACTCCATCTCCCTCGCTGCTCAGTGGCTTTATGGCTGGCCCAACAAGCCTGGGTATCAGAAGTACATAGAAGCTCTCAAACCAAGGTAACTTGTTAAATACTGCAGATCTGTTCCTGTGTTTCACTGAAGAGTCAGTCCTTCATACCCTTTTTCATGTTTGGCTTCTTCATCAGGAGAATATACTGTTTGACCAGAGCTGTGCTGGAAACTCTCAAATATCTGCAGTATGGGAGGCTTTACTTTCGGTGGAAGTCATGGTACCAGAATGACGAAAACCGTAAGCATTATGAAAAGGTGTGTTGACGATAAGTTAGAAAGAAGACAATTTAGTAAATATCTAAAGTTGGATTATCATACCATTATGTTTGTATCAGCATTCCCTTCTTCACTCAATATATATCAAAGTGTCAAAGCTCACAGTGTTCTCTGTCTGGACACAAAGGGCATCACATTTGGTCGCAGAAGCAACAAGCTGGACTTGTACCACCCTCCCAATGTGGACAGGTCTGAAGAAGTGCCTGCACCGCTGGTGGTTTACATCTTCGGAGGTGCATGGGGCTCTGGAGATCGATCCATTTACTGTTTGCTGGCCCGGCAGATGGCTGAAGAACTGGGTGCAACTGTCATATGTCCTGACTACTGCACCTATCCAAAGGTAGGAGCTTTAGAAAAGTAGTTTTATTGGATGTATACCTCAAATATAGTGTGTTATTGTCTTGAATATGAAGAAAACTTCTGTCTAACTCTGAGAAGTATAGGTAAGAATTGTACCTCAGTAACTCAACCGGCAGAAAAGTAACAACATTATGAATGTTTCTGAAGTATCTGAACTGTTTTCATCTGATCGCCAGGGGAACGTTTTAGGCATGGTCCAAGATATTGCTGACTGCTTGATTTGGGCCCAAGAGAGTGGACCCCAGTTCAACTTTGACAAAGTAAGAAATACTGTCTCTAAATATTCTTTAGAAATATGAGAAAACTTTCAGATGAGAATGACCATTTATTATAAGAAGGAACATTTTAATAGGATCGGTTAAATCATTGAGGTTGCTCAAATTCAAAAGTCAAATTTATAAAAATCCACAGAAGAAAAAATGGAAGGCAAATGAGAGACCCCTAGCAATTTAATGAGTTTAAACTTGTATCATAATAAACTCTTCAGTTTTAGTAGCACTGATCCAAAACATCTTATTTGTTTCTAATTTAATAAAATATTTATGGCATTAAAAGAAAAAATAGAAGAGCACATAATTAAGATGACGATGTTTTTTTGAAGAGTGCACATTCACACGGTCTTCACGGTAAATAATATGCCATTATTGTCTTGTTTTTCTCTCTTTCATAGGACAACATAGTATTAATTGGCCATTCAGCGGGTGCACATTTATGCACACTGACCTCACTGTTTCTCATTGATGCAAGAGAGGAGCTTTTCATAGAGGCCAGCAAGCAGAGGGACCTAACACTGGCAATAAGAGGAGTGATTTGTAAGGATTATTGCGTGCATCAATCACAGTTGAAACCATGTTTTATGCTAACGTTAACTGAACTTTATGTATGTATATCTGTCGTATTACCCTGACAGGTCTGAGCGGCGTGTTCAACATCATGGATCATTACGAGCACGAGCAGAAGAGAGGAGTGGAATATGTCTCCACCATGCACAAATCCATGAATGGAGTGGAGAACTTCCCGTACTACTCACCAACACACACTCTGAAGATGTTGAGCCAGGACAAACTAAACAGGTGAGAGAAGAAAAAAAAAAAAAAAAAAAAATAATAATAATAATAAAGCTTTATTTATATAGTGCTTTACAAATTGACACATCACAAATGAAAAACAAACAACAAGAAATTCCCCTCAGATTATACGATACGATACGATACGATACGATATTACTTTATTTGTCAGATCAAGTCTGAAATTTGACTTGCGTCACAGCAGCTCCATGTCCAACATCAACAGACAAATATCCAGACAAAAATATTATTATTAGTTATTTGTTAAGAACTTTAAAAGGTACATGCAGCAAAATATAACATTTGAACAGGTTAATAAACACAAGGAGGTGAAATGTATGATAATACAAATAAAATAAAATAAATAATGGTTTCTCTCTAACAGATAAGACACAAGACAACTGAGTCGATGTAACAATATAAAATATAATATAAAACCCCATAAAACAAAGTGAACATATAGGTACAACAGAATTGCAAATAAAAAGATTAAGACCTATAAAATAAATAAAACAATATAAAGCTAGGTACATAATAAAGACTAAAAGAACATTTAAAGTGGGGGGTTGCTAATAAAAAGCTAATCTAAAAAGACGTGTCTTTAGCTGTCATTTAGAAATGTCCACTGAGTTGAAAAATGAAAATGATCTTTAAATGTATTGCATGTGTTATTCATTTGAATACAACATTTCCCACCCACAATCTGCTCTTGCTTTACTTACTGCCAGAGTGCCTCCATTTGCTTTGCTCCACGGGACCAGTGACATCATCGTTCCGGTTGAATCTTCCACAAAGTTCTGTGATCTCCTCACCTCGCTGTCCATAAAGGTGTCCCTCTACCTGCTGCCTAAAATCGACCACACTGAAATCGTGACGGACCTCATGGTGTCCGACAGGCGCTTCTACCATCCCATCTACAGCTGCATCAAACAGGAGTTCAGAAAACTTTTGGGAACGTGCTGACGACCCTTCAGATCATTACAAAAACAGCTATTCATCACTAACATTTTAATGATTGTGCCATACACTTACTTTGTTTACAGTATCTGCTCTTATACCTCAAAATAATCATATTTAGCCTTGATTTGAACTGGATTGTGATTCCATAACAATGATCAGATTGTAATTTATTAAATCCAGGAGTGGCATCGGATGATTTTTAACTACATTCTTAGTGGCCTGCATTCTGAAAACATCTTTATGATATTGTCTTTAAGAGATATTAACCAGACTGCAGGAAAGTGAATGATGTAAACATAACATGAAATCAATCATGAAGCAATAACAGTATAATGTAAAACACAGCATGATAATGCATACTATTACACTAAGTACAGTTACAGTCTGCTTAGAGGCCAACTCATTCCGAGTGACAATGCAACATTACCTTGAACATTTTATTCATTACCTCGCATGTTTTCTGTTACATTCAATATTTCTTAACTTGATGTAATATATTTTCTTGAATAACTATTTATTGATTTCAGACCCATTAAACCCTCATTAAGTTACTAAGGATGTTTTGCCTATTGTCATTATTAATTATCTACAAAACTTGATGACAAAAGTTGAATACAGGATGTTGTGTACATTGCAAATTAGACAATTGCTATATTTATGGAAGTACAGTGTGAGTTTTTTTATTTGATCAAATGTTTATAATATACTGTAGGTTTCGTATTTAAAGTATGTTGTGCATATGACTAATAAACATAAAGGGTCATTATGGTAATAATTTGGTTAAAAAAAATATATATATAGTTACATTAAAATATTGAGCAGGCAATTTAAAGAAAGTGCACAACATGAACACATTTAAATACATGCAGTCTAAACATTAGCATTCAAATATATGTTTACAACATAAATGGATGGCTATGGCCGCTGGATGAACTGAGCATAAATTAGAAATTACAACATTCATAAATGTTTTTAAGAGATTGTAATGTGTATGATGCCTATTTTAAAAATAACTGTTTAGGTGTGCAAAACCATTAATGTATGTAATATCAAACACTTGACATAAAAGACACAACTCTTTATATTTATATTAACACTTAATCGATTTTTTATGAATATCCTTGTAAAAAATGCAGTTTTTAAAGAAACCTCTTCCAGGTCATGTGACTCAGTGACTAAAATAAACACCAATTTGTATTACTACACTGGACTAGTAGAACACAATTGTTTTTCCTATATTATATGAATCTTTAACAAAAAAATCAGAAGCGGTTCTTAATTTTCACAGGACCCAGTGAGTCCAAACCAATGCAGCATTGTATCGAATGTACATCGAGTGAGTAGGACACACTTTTTATTGGATTTTAGTTACTCTACTGTTTTAAATTAATATTTTGTTGAACAATCATGTTTTTGTTTGTTAAAAATTGTAATTCTTAATAGCTTCCATGTTAAGTGACCCATTGATACCAACTCCATACCAGATATTATGACACCGGACAAATATGACTTGGACTAATATCACCTTTATTCATCCCCTTGGCCCAGGGGAATTTCACTGGTTCATATAGTTAATAGTTATATATATTTATACATTTATGTTGCTTTTAATATGTGTTTTAATATTTTATATGAATATCCTTGTGAAAGAATCTGCAGTTTTTCAGTTTTCCAGTCTTGGATTTTTCAATAGATTCCATTTCATTTGACCTGATTTATATTATGCAGCTATGTATTACTAGAAATAGGAAAAACATATTTTTACAAGAGTTAGTTGGTCGATGCTGGACATTTGAAATGTATACTAACCCTCAACAACCGTCTTTTGAGACAACAATGTTTGATTTTTTTAAGTTTAAGTTGGTAAGAGAAGTCAAATAAAACCCAGCATAGGCCTACGGTACATTTGTTGCACACACAGTACCTCAGGTTGGTGCTGCAGAAACGTCATCAATCTACAAAGGAACAACATCTACAGACTTCTGACTGAACCTGATACACACTGTTGAAGTCTAATTCTTCTCTTTGTGAGACCGTCCACCTGAGTCCTGCAAGCTGAGCTGGTAATGAAACAGCTCTCAAGTCTGATGGTTGTTGTGGGTTTGAATCCCATCTGGATTGTTTAATTTATCCGTCTTGACTGAGAATAACTAACTGGACTAGGATCAGTCTGTTACATAAATAAACAGTCAGAGCTTATGAGAACAGTTGGAACCAGTCAACCAGACTGACATGTTCGGTTCTTCCTTTATGAGAAAGTGTAAAAGCACTTCAACTTTCCCAACTTGTAAAGTGACTCAGCCAAAATGTATGAGAACCTTAAAAGGTGCCGGTCAATAGCAGATGATGGAGCTCAGACTATTTGGGGACACATGATGACAGTTAACAAAAAGCATTATCCATAAACACAATTTAGGGGTTAAGCTTCAATTCCATTCAAAGGATTGTTGCACTCCCAAATAAGCCTGTAAACTAAACAGATATTCAATTTAAACACCTTTATATAGAGGTGGATTGGCTCCAATTAAAACACTTTAACAAAGCCTAAAGTAATTTACTTATTTATCTATTTATAAACTTAGAATATAGCAAACCCCCTGAATTTGCATCTTAAGTCAAATAATGAAGGGCCCTTTTTAAAGTGCCTTTTAGCCTACCTGCAGATCCTTATAGCATTACTTGATTTATTCTGTGGGCACATTTAATAACAAGTATCATAAATCAGGTTAATTAAAAATACTTTGAAATGTCTATTAACACATTCTCATTCCCAAAGTGTGTTTGTTGCTTGTTTGAAATGGCCTGCAGCATTTCCCCCCTTCTTCTTGTGGCTTTTATTTTGAAAACTGAGATTAACATGCCTTCTTTGAAAACAAGCACACACACGCACACAGGCATACACACACGCACGCACACGCACACACACACGCACACACACACGCACACACACACGCACACACACAAGGCGGAGTTTAGCGAGGACCTACGTCGGTGTCTCAGTTCAGTGCAGGGTCTGCTGCTGCACAGATTCAACACACACAACTATTGTGTTTAAAGGTACTGAAGCGTGTTCCAGTGAAAAACAGGTCTGTAAATATGTAACCGTACATGTCCGGTAACAGTCGTGTTTCCACCGGGAGAAGAAAGATGGACTCTGTTGTGAAAAACACCCAGAAGAAGTTGTGGCTCCGCGGTCTGCTTTGGTGGTCGCTCCTGCTCGAGCTGGCGTCGGGAGGTAACAACTTTTCGACTTTTTTTCAATGAAAACAAATGAAAGATAAACTAAAATGGTGGCTCTTTTGATGTCGAATTGTTAATACTGACGCCATAAAATGACATTAGTTACCAAAGACGAATTTCTTCCAGGTGTTGTTTGTAGTTTACAGAGGAAATTGTTTCACCCTGAAAGCTACTTAAGATTTCCAAGGTGATAACTACCATCTTCAATGGTCATAACGAATTGAAAAAAACAGCTCCTACCTCGTTTGGATGGATGGGATTTCCTTCATGAGTAGGCTGCAGCACTATTTCTGTATCATCATGAGCATGCATCTAAAAGTAGGCTGTAGTATCACCTTACACAGGATTGTTAAATGTTTTCTGTGCGTGATTTTGAGTTGCTGTAGTGGTTCACAGGTCCTTAATGTTAACCTCAACAGAAGTGAATAAATTGTGAATGGGGTATGGCTGGTTGATGTTTGGCTGCAATGTTCATCAAAGACTCAAAAGAGAATTTAGTTGTAGCTTTTAAGCAGCCTCTGCATGGGTCTGATAATATCACTGATTTTCTCTATTAAATGTCTTTAGGTCATTTCTCGCATGATGCACTGCTCTTACCTTATTATAGTAGGCAGCAGAAATGGGACTATGATGCCTGTAGAACAATAGGACTGTGGCAATAATGGCACAATTAAATAAATAAATAAAACAATGGACAGCTGCTTTGAGAGATCTAAAGGGAAAAATATGTTTTTAATGAGTCACAGCTTCAGATGTACATTGTCCTCTCTGGTTGATGTGATTCCATGCTTGTGTCATGTAATTCAATGTTCATCCAGGCTCGGCCCCTGGGTATAATCAGGAGTTATTTCATTGTGACTCACTCTCACCATATCCTTCATTGAAAAATAACTACAGTATAGCCATTTGTTTTACTTCAATGGATTTCAGAATATGTGTATACCCTTAGTATTATGAAACTAGCCTTTGCTGAAAACAGCCACGTCGCATGCTTTGACCATGCATCATCAACTGAGTGGCATGACAGTCAACTAAAAAACAGAGAGGCACTTCAGTCAAGTTGCATCTCTGATCTGTTGTATAAACTGAGCACACAGGCAGTGACAAGCACTGGTCTCCCCCCCTCAAATTAACTGCAAGCGGGTGTTCGCTAAAAGGTCACTGGCTTTGTTGTTGAAAAAAAGGTTTGTGAAATCTCACCAAAAAATGTCCTTGACCCACAGAAACCGCCCCTGCAGACATGCATATTACAGAACAACCACAGTCAGGTGTACACAGCTATGTTCATGAGTGGGAATTGTTCTCGGGTACTGTGCTCTTTCATTTACATACCCTCCAAACTTATCCATATTACATATCCATAGCCTTTGACTATGTCATAAATGCCACATCTGAAATGTGTCTTCCATTTGTATTCAGCTTTCAAAGAATCCAGTAAACCGTGGGCTTTGTTTTAACCAAACATGACGTTCATTTATGTGACTTTAACATCACAGAGATGACACCAAAATACAATTGAGCATGCATGTCCATCCTTGTGAATTTAAGGGAAAAATGTCATTGCATTCCTCTCGGGCAGTTTTTCGAAAATGCTTCCTCCCTGTTAAGTTCAAAGATCCAGTCAGACGAATGAACATGACGTTTAAATAAGAAAGGACAACCAATTCCGTGCGTCTGTCTTGGGGTCAGAGTAATGCTGTGTGCCTGTGGAAAATCAATTTGTTTATTTCCAGCTGTATTTAGCAGTTGCTAAAGGCACAATACATTAGACTGGTCAGTTGAGGGCAGTTTATTAAAAGTAAACAAAAATCACGGAAAACTACTATTTTTGTATCTATAAATAAATATCTATTGATGCGAATACATTGGTCTTAAGATCTTTAGAGGAAACATTTTCAAGCTTGTGTGGCCTTTATTTGATTTCTCTGCCGAGGTCTTACTCTGTATTTGAATTGGTACTAAACTGTGTTATTTTCTGGTGGGCACAAACAACACCCAAAGCTGGCTGTATGGGGAAATGAGATGGAGTCAACTATGTGAATTTCACCGGAAAAGATGCTAGCTTCTTAAAATGGAAGAAAGCTGTCTGACTACAAATATATTTAAATGGGTTAAATAAATGATTGACTTTTGATGAAAATACAGGCACATGTTTTTGTTTTTTTATAATAACGTTAAAGGGTTAAAGGCCTGACAACTGCCAGTTGATTACACGATTAGTCAATTAATAGAACATTTCTATTTTTGATAATGAATTAACCAACCAAGTCTCTTCTCAAGCAAAATCAATTCAGAGAAAAGATAGACTTGAAATAACATTTTGAATAAGAAAACATGATATTTGCTTGTAAAATTATGTTATAAATGATCTTAATTTGCCCAGATAAGATTTGGAATGTTCTCTTCAATGTTAAAA